CCTGTATGCACGTAGCACACAGGTTACCTGTGAAGTGTCTTCTTGCGAGCCATGTCATCGAAAAACCACCAGGAGCCTCCAGTTTGTATTCACTGTAAGGCACATCACTGTGGTTTTGTGGGGGGGGTTTAATCAAAACTTACAGCAATTTTCATATCATTATTCCCCCCACTCCCTGTGGCATGAATAATGTGATTTGTTCATGGAGATATGTCAGAGTCAGAACTGGCAGAAAACCGTAAATGGACACATCTGAAAACTGCTTCACCTTTATGCTTATTTAATATTATCCTTGAGAGCAAGGGCCTTTCCTCTTGACCTCACAGGCCCTGCAGTTCTCACACTGCCACACTGACTAGAGCACGGAACAGTTGCCGATGTTTAGCTACTCAATCACAGTAAACACTGAAAAATACAGTAATCTTGAAGTACTCAAGTTGGGGAAAGTGTTTTTTCAGCTTATTCAAGCCGGTGGTCCGTCAAAGCATTTCGTAAGAGTTAACTGGTGCCACCTTTGGCTGACTAGTTTCTGGTCCCGTTTTTGCTTGTTTTTTTTTTTTTCATTTTAGCTTGCATGTTTTTTTTTTTGTGTTTTCTAGTTGTCTTAATTAGAGGCCCTGATGGTTCTTGAATCCTAAAGGGAAATATTTTAAGTTGACTTTTTAAGAAATGTTTAATTTTCTTTTCATTGCAATCAAGATGTTATGCTTTCTGCTGGTCATAGGACAGAATTCTTAGTTTGTCATGTTGCTTTATGTCTTGAAAGGCTCTGTATGGCATGTCTTTTGTTTGCCATTAATTATTAGGGCATGAGGGAAAGGTGGGGGGGTACGACTTTCTTAAAGTTTAACAATTGTCTTTCTGCACTGAAACAAACCTGTGCAGGGTTGTATGAGAATCAGCAATGCATTCGTTGGTACTTTTCATATTCTACTGTAATAAAAAAAACTTAAAAATGACCAGAGTGACTTGCCACTTTTTTTCATGCTCACACCTGGGAGAACATGGAGAGGAAAAAAAACAAACCTGTGCTGCAAGAGTTAATAAACTGATTCGTAAGCCTTGGTGTTCATCCCAAATTGAAAATGTGGAGTTTCCCTCCGTCGATTTTCCAGCTTTTGAGCTCCTAGAGGTATTGTACAAAAATGGCATTCTGTTTCAGCTCCATCTTGAGTTTGTTTCTTCTGTGCACGTACGTTATATGGTAAACACTTCATCTTGCACTGAAAAATCCCACATCACAAACCTCAGCTGTAGTTTCTTCAGCAGGGGGTTTCAGAAGCATTTCGTGTACACCATTCGTACAAGAATCAGTAAGAGTTAAGCCCCATCTTTAGGTCAAAGTGGTGCTATTGGTCATATGCACAGTAGCATTTATCATCAAATTTGTACTCGATTCATATTGCACTGCTTTGGGGGGGAAGAAAATTTATGTAGCACAATTACAGTGTCCTTAAATGCTCAACAGTTGTGATGGTCAAATCTGTAAGAAAGGTGACCACATATTTCAACTAAATATTTAAGAGGACACCAGAATTAATGGTGGAGTTAAAAAAAAAATGGTTTTAAAGCACCTTCCTACCATTTTCTCTTATGAACCACCTGAAGAAATAACCAGTAAACCATGAATAAAGTTCTAATAAGACTTATACAAGAATGAAAAGCTGAAAAAAAAAACAAGCATCATCAAGAATACTGTGCTGGTTTAAAATAAACAAAAAACACTTTTCTGGTATAAACATCCTTCCAAGAGATAAAATACATGATTTGTGATATTTTATTTGATTAACTTCTATTGAAATAACAGCCAGAGCAATTTCACTATCATTTTTTTTTTTTAATTTAACAAAAGTTGTTAAATCATTTGTCCTAGAGACACCATTAGTATTGATGACAAGGAGCAAAATGTACTCTGTGTTAATAGCCAGTAAGTATCGGTATCATTGGTGTACACAGGTGTGTGTTTCATCAGTATAGTTTTCCCAAAATATTTGGGTTTCAAGCAACTCAGAAGAATCCTTTGGGGCGAAGGAGGGGAAAGAAAAAAATATCAGTGCTGAACAAAAGTTTCAGGCTCAAGCAGATGTGACCACAGATGTCACATGATTACTGACACTTCTTTGATACTGTTGAAATTCTGCGACCATTTCTGGAAATAGACGGGGTTTTCTGGATGAGCCGCTTTGCACTCATCACTCACCTTAGTATGCTAAGTGAGATGAAAAGCCACCACAATACTGAGATTTACAATCTCCATGTTGATGTGTTTGTTCCTGACAAGTCATGTGTACTAGTAACACACTACAATAATGAAACAGGTCCACCTTAAAAACTTATTGGGATGTTCATCTTAGTAAAGGTTTACTTAAGCATGTAGCTGTTGGACAGTCCAGCTAATGACAACTGCAAGCTACAAAGTCTGAGAGAGTGGCTCGTCTCTCCTTGAGTGCTTTTAAACGGTTTAGAAGCCATTTTCAAAGAAAGCTCTCTCTTGGTAGAAGATGGAGACCAAGCTTCTTTTTTGCAATACCTCATCGCTGTACTGGATGTTTAGCACCTTCACAACCTGGTCTCGAACGCCTGTGATCTCTTTAGGGACGGAGCTATATTCTAGTACATGAGCCAGACTAAAATAATGTGTGTATATTCAATATTCAAGTATTGGATATTTAACATTTTAACTGTATGCTTTTTACAATCAGAAACTTGTAGGGCATAAAATATTTTTTCCTCTATTGTATATTCATTCATTCATTGCCCTGAAATAAAACTGTTAGCAAGGTACAAAGCCATTCTCAGCACAAACTGCACAATGACAGATTAGTGTAGGGCTACTTTGCTGGCAAGCTTTCCTGGTTCACCCAATGGCAACATTTGGACAACCAGATTTGTATTTAATTTCTGGTCGTATTGACGCGAGAATGGATTAACAGGACTGCAGTGACTGCTTTGGACCTAGGTAGAAAGATATTTATAAATAGATATTCCGCTCCAACAGAAACAATTTCTAGGCCATTTCGATCTGAGAGACGGTGATAAACCTACTGCCACAAAATCATGTTTAATAAATTACTTTACATTTATCAAGGTAGGAATGTGTACAGAAAAATGATCAATTGAGCCTAAAAGAGCAACAAAACAAAATTCTAGATACTTGTGCGCAGAATTCCAACAGCAAAGAACCTTAAACTATAAAAGTTCTTGGACAACAATACTCACATTAGAGCAAGTGCAATCACAAACATACATTTTATAATCACTTTGCAATTAAATAAGGCATATTGTCAAAGATTATGGTTTCAGTTTTCATGAGCTGCACAAAGCTTTAAAAATAAAGATTTCTTTCTTTCTCCAGCATAGCAGCAACAGATATAAATATACACACTCAAGATGGCCAGGTACTATGATAAACATGTCTACCATCTCTTATCTCATTGTCTTGCGCTCAATAATATTTTCTTTTCTTTCACTATTTCAGGAAAAATAATAAACCTAGGACTTCTCACAAATCTTTGGAAGAAAGAACAGAAAAAAAAACAAGGGTAAAATCCTAACCTCTCTACCATAAGCAATAATTTAGGAAAACAGTGCATGTTTCCTTTTTTACACATTAATAAGTAATTTAGAAGTAGCTCCTTGATGTAGGTACAGAAGAATGGTTGTGTGTCACAGCACAGTGAGGCTTTCCAGACAGCCCTCACCTGATGTACAGTATAAGAGACATTTTATTTAAAAATACTACAAACCAACTTTGTACAGGCCATCAAATACCATTCCACGCATTGCACAAATATTACATGATGGCCTTAAAACACTGTGAGAGTAATTCTTTCCGCAGCTGGTAAACTAAAAGGCTAGCAGCCCCCTTCAACTCATTCCACTGCACATGAAGTGTGTGTGTAAAAAAAAAAAAAACTATACAAAATATTTATATATGCTACTGCTGTGAGCAGATCACTAAATTCTTAAAATATCTTGGTCGCAGGCAAACTGTCATCCGAAAGGAGTTAATCAGATTTTTGCTTAAAAGGGATGTCCAGCTCTTTTTTTGTAAGGATAGGTTTCATTTATAAGTTACCATGCTCTAGTTTTCAGATGTCTATAATGTACCTTCTGCCCCCAGAATAGCCAAGCCTGGACACCAATTAGCACTGATAAAAAACAAAAAACAAATGCATGAAGTAGTTACCGCTGAACTCCCTCCTGAATGCAAAAACACACATTACCATTTTATCTTCTTTTTTGAGCCAGCAATACAAGATCTTCACACAATGACGTTAACGCTGATACCTCTTTTCGATCCACAGAATTATTTCGGCCGAGATTTCATCCACCCGCTCTTCAACAGATGCCGCAAAACCACTTCCCACACCTTCGGTTTTTAGCTTCATTTTCTTTTTCGCAAGAACCAAACTCGCCATCCGCTAGCAGAGAGCATTCTTGAGCCCCTCCCGGATTTGATCTTTGAGCCACGCCGAACTCCTCCCATGGAAAATTCCCAGAAATCCACGGATTCACCGATACGAGTCGACTGCTTTGCCTACAACCGCTTAACCACAAGGTTCAGCGCTCTTCCGCTACCATGATACCACACTGTAACATTACTGTAAGAAGCACAATAACACAAGGGTACGTGGACTGAAGTACAGACTCTTTTGAAATGGAAGCATTGCCCGATATTCCACAAGGAAATGTGTTGTTGTAGTCTCCTCATCCACAAATCCAGATTCCCTCGTTTGCCGGCTGCTGCCGTCTTTCCCTGGCCCTCCCTCCCTTTGTCGTCCTCAGCGTTGCGTGGGCACGCTCAAGAGAAAGACATCCAGCACTCATCGCCATTCAGCAAGCAAGAGGTCTCTCCTCCTCCTCTCCCCCCCCCCCAACCACCAGTCTTCCTCTCCCAGACTGGGAGGGTCGAGATTATCACCAGCATCCCAATCCTCCATCCTTCACACAAGCAGGGTGGGGCACAGAGCCCCCCCACGCCCTCTGCTGTCAAAGAATGATACAGCACCTGCAGAGCCGCTGGCCGCCGCCGTGCACGGACGGAGGGGGGGTGACCGGGGCAAAGTAGGCGTGCACTTTGATCTCAGGCAGGTGCGCCTGCAAAAACAAGAACACACGGCCGTATTGGGCATCTGCGGAGGCAGCTCATTCACGGTCATGCGCCCGGGGGCTTACAGACAGCGGAGCTTGATGGCATCAGTCATCGAACTGCTGGGAACCCTCAGATCATTTAACACGCACTCCTGACGCGAACAGCACTTCTGCCTCCTCAAACCAAGCCTTATCCTGGTTTCTGCAGTGTCACACGACCACCCTCTGGCTGGGACCAGCCGGGTGTGGGGGTTGGCCTCAGAAATGCTGAAAGGGTCAGGTACCGCAAAGGAGCTCAAGGATACGGTATCTGTCCCAGATGTCCTTACCTGGACCCTAGACGAAAACTGAGAACGGAGTCGGTAACGTACTGTACACGCAACCACACAGGCGTGCCGTGAACCATTTTCTAACCACACAACAGCACGATTACTGTACGAGAGAGAACTAGCGAAGAGCATTACGGGTTAAGCGAAAGGGGAGAACGATACGCCAATGACACAGAGGCATCAGCGCGACAACAGAAATACAGGGTCTAGCTCAGCACGACAGCCCTCCCCACACCCGGACGGGGCCCGCAAGCGCTCCGTCCGCGCCGCGCCGACGGGGGGGGGGGGGGGGGGGGGTCGGGGTGTCAGGGGAAGCACGGCCGAGGCGGGACTTCCTAAACTCCGCCCCCTTCCGCCCGCGGCGGCGGTCCGGGCGCACTCACCCGGATCCTCTTGATGCCCGCCCGCGTGACCTGCTGGCAGTCGTACAGCTCGATGCGCTCCAGGTTGTGGCAGCTCTTCAGGTGCTCCAGCGTGACGTCGGTGATGAGCGGGCAGTTGTCCAGCTCCACCACCTGCAGACGCTCGTGCCCGCAGGTGCTGTTGCTGAGGTGGCGGATCCCGTCGTCCGTGATGAGCTCGCAGTGGGACAGGCTCTGCACCGGTGACAGAAACAAACACGGGGGGGACAGTCACACCCGCGCAGCGCCAAGCCACGCCACCGAGACACCCGAGCGGCTAGCGCCCTCTTGTGGGCTCTGGAGGTGGCGACTTTCCTGCGCATCCTGAGCTGAGAACAGGCGGTAAAGGTGAGAGAAGTCAAGATGAGGTCAACGTGAAGTGCCAAGCAGCAAAACAGTGCAGATTCTTCGATTCTGCAAAACAGAAGTGTCTCGCGCACTGAAGTGGGATGGGCACATCAACAGCATGCAGACCTGTCAATGTGCAATTACGGCGTTACAGTACGTGTTGGTTCCTTCGTGTCTGGACTAACACATAGCTTCCTCAGCTATGCAGACAGCAGGTTCTGTGAACCTTGATGATCTTGATCTCCACTCTCAGGCTTCCCGTACAGATATGAGGAGGCTGAGGGGATTTCCAGGGCTACTTACACACGAAAGCATCAACTCAGTGCCGTGAATTTGGATCCACAAAGCCAAGGACAGCTTTCTTCTAAATTATTTTATTTCCAAAAGAGGGATTCTTCTGAACAAATTATTTTGTGAGCCTTATGACCTGGTTACTAAGCTCTGAAACAAGCAGATAAACAAACATCGTCCGAATGGCCACGAAAGAAAAGATCAAGAATGCGAAGATGATACCAAACTCACCAGAGCCTGGAGCTGAGGACAGTGGATGGAGAGCTGAACTAGTGTGTTATCCGTCACCTGTCAAGAGGAGAAAAAAGCAGGCAGCTTATGTTAGACAAACCCAGCGCACAAACGCACACAGCCATTTAGAAATGACTGCAAAGAGAAGCATATGAACTTTATGCCACTTGTCACTGGATTCTTAATAAACCATACTATTTAAACTTCATATCACAGCTCCACAGTGACCGCCTCTATATATACAGTGTAGTATAACGCAGTATTGTAAAATGATGGAAAAAATTGGAATGGAAAATGAACTGAAAGAAACTGAAATCCTTCATGAAAGTCATTTTTAAGATTCAGATGTGCACTTAAATAAAGACACCTCACCAAAATACATTCTTCTAAATCCATCTTCTCTAGTTCATGACAATTCTGAAAGAAAAGAATCATAAGTAAGTTTTGTTTTATAGGGAAGTTGTTTAAGAGGCACCCCTCCTCCAGTGCAGCGCACTGACTTGCGAATACCGTTCAGGTAGGAAAACTGAAATGATTGAATTTATAGTAAATATAAAAAAAAACCTCTTCATACTTTTCCTACTTCATACTCTTCATACTGTATAAGCACATGACATTACTGTAAATTGTACAACAAAAGATCTGGATCTTCATACACTTCTGCATGATTAAGACAATGCTAAAGAGTAAGACTACCGATTTAAGAACCAACCCAAACCGCCACAAGGAGCCCAAAACACACCACGTGTACCTTCAAACCTCAACCCCCTTGAAGCGCAATCGCTCACTGACGTTTCCGAAAGTCGTAACAACGCTGCTCGCTGTTTGCGGAGTCCATGCATCAGTGCTCATGCTAACAATGGTGCTCGGCGTTGCAGTTTGCTGGAAATATCACTCAACCCATAACGCAGTACTCACCCTTGCTAAAACAGTGAAGCCAGCGTCCGTCACGTGTGAACATCTCGCCGCCTCCAGGATTCTAAAGAGAGCGATACAACAGCACTGTCTCATCCTGGAGACCCGGTAGATTAACACCTGCTAGTTCTCCTATACATAGCAAGCACTGCTGAAATGACAGGACATGACCTAACTGTATATGAAAAGCTCCTGATAACAGTGATTCTTAAAACTATATCCTAAATAACAACTTATAACCCTTTTGATTATTCCCCATATGTGTTATGATTTGCATGGGGGTCCGACTCTTGTCCAATTGATTTCTATTAATGAAATAAGGGATCTTCAGTTCAAGAATAATGCATGAACATAAGTTTGTGTTTTGTTCCTGAAAATGGCCGGAATTTTAAGTTCTTGGTCAGGTAAAACGCTTATTGGCTGTTTAAGTAACTGCAGATTTACTGCAGCCCACAAAAAAAGCTAACTGGGACAAAATAAGTTGAAATGAAATGTTGTCAGGGTAATTGGAGGATTCTTGATAATCCGAGCGACTTGACAGACATGCCCGCATATTCAAAATTAAGTACAGAACATAAAAAGTGACAGTCGTATATCTGAATTCTTCCACAACAGAGAAGCATATTTTTATATAATTTAATAGAAAGGGAAGAAAAACCGTAGAAAAAGACATCTGGCTGATGATTATTCTGGTGATAAAAGTGCAAATACAATGTGAAGTGTTGTTACTGCAGGACTCATCGCTTGAAGACAAGTCTACCCTTTCAGTCATGTTAGACATCTAAACTCTAACACTTCTGTAGCTTTGGATGACTGACAGCCAGGAGTATAAGGTAAGGTTTTGCAAGAATCTTCATTCCCCACGCAGCTTGAGAAATTACAGCTCATTTTTTGGAACTGCTGGGCTTCTTTCTCATGCTGTATGACACTTAAAGCTCCTGAAGGCAGAAATTCAAAGCGAAGAAAAATTAGTTATAGCATTCCCTGCCAGCGCAGGAAGCTTCTGAACAATTTATTCCCTTTGTGTAAGTGCAGCAAAATAACGGTCAATCTGTCTGATCAGAGTTTGAATAAATCCTTCCAGGAAGAAGTCTTTACTGAAAGTCAAAGCGTCTTTAAAGCGAAACAGGCGAGTGGCTTGAACACAAATGTCGTTCACTTACTTAAGTCTAGGACAGTTGAGACCCAGGGCTGTGAGAGAGGCATCTGTGATATTGGTACATCCAGAGACGCACAGGATCTGAAGTTTGTGGCATCCTCTACATAGACTGACTAAGCCTTCATCTGTGATCTGCTAAATAAAGTAATGAAGAACCTAACTTTATAAATCTGCATTCAGCAGAAAAAACAATGGACCACATGCATCCATCTGCTTAAAAACCTAGACTGGGAGATAGAACTAATTCTGGTACCGTAAAAAGAATTTACCAGTGGCACAGCCATATTTAAAAGACATTAAGGTTCTCAGCTGAGCTGGCCGATTTCCATTCCCTTGCCAAAAATAAAAACGTCTTTCTGCCTTCTGTTAAATTCCTCCCCACAGCTACTTGCTTCAAGATAGGAATCACCTGGTTTTGTCTCTTCAACCCGCCCTCAGTCTGAGACATACAGATGGCCCGCCCAGCCTGAAGTACCACTTTGACAAATGGACACGACCTTACAGGGAGAAAGATTTTCGCTGGGGCACCAAATGGGCAAAACTTCCCACACATGACCAGGCGAACAGCAAGAAACATAATCGAACACCACTTACTGTACATGACTGCAAGTTGATGGTCATGAGCTCGGGACAATACTTCTGGAGGTGCTTAAGTGCATCATCGTCCAGCTGCATGACCACCATGAAAAGAAGATGCTCGTTTTAGTTCATTATCCTTCACCGGCACTTACAGCCCGGCTGCCAGAATTAGCTTGCAGGAGAGCACAAGGTCCCACTGTCTCTTCTACTGCCTCAGTTATCTAGCGCCGCACATAGCTGCAGAAACTTCATGCCTCTCAAGTTTAACCTTTTCTATGGTGCAGCACCGGTTTATGATTCTGTGCTCGAACGCAATGCTTGTTAGCACTTTCTTAATGAAAATCTACCATATCGTACAGGTATATCCTCCCCCTCATTAGAGAAGAAAGGGCCCTGAAGATTTTTTTCAGTCGTAAAACAAAAGATAATACATCCTGTCATATGGTATTCTTACATTTCTGAGAATATAAACGGTTGGTGGTCTCCATTTGGGAGCAGTTCCCCAGCGGATTTCATAACATGCCAGAAAGTTTTTGCGTCTTGTGGGAAGTGGTGATGTAATTATACAGTAATGCCTTTGGGGGGCAATGTTGCACAAGATTAAAACTATATTACAGAATATGTCTCCCTTGACAGCCCCCACAAGAATCAATCAATACAACCATATACAGCAAATGTTTTCTCTAAGGCTTTAGACATGCGTATAGTCCTGGCTAATAAATTAAGATAAGCAGAATAAAACAAATGCTGAATTTTGCTAAGACAAAACCCACTTTTGTTTGAACCCGCTCAACAAGTCAAATTATGATGGGAACTGTGGCTAACTGTGGGGAACACTCTGCATCCCCATCCCCCTGAAAACGAAACGGCTTGCTTCACCAACCTGGGTGCAACCTCGCAGGAACAACGCTTTGAGGCCCCCAGACCCTCTCACGAGAGCTTCTATGCCATCCTTAGATATCTGATCACACCAAGAAATGTTCAAGTGCTCCAGGAACCGGCAGCCCTCGCTGGAAGGGAGGGAAAAAACAGCTGATCGGAGGCTGAAGCGAGTAATAAGACTCTGAAAGAGCAGCCACACTCACAGCGCTCCCTTGTGACAGTGTCAACACTAATACACCTCTACTGCTTTAATCCCCCAGATTTCACTTCTACCCAGATTCCTAACTGCCTTTCCTGACAGAACGACACAAGCAATTTCCTGTACACACTACAACAGAGACAAAACGTCTATACCAGGTTCTTTTTGGTCACACGGGTTACAATTGAAATTCCAAGTCTCTCTGAAGAAGGTCTCCGAGGAGAGACTGAGCAGCCCTTTGTTTTTCTGGGTAATTTGTCGTTCAATTTACTAGGAAGAGAGTGTTTAATAAGAAAATTGAAAGTAAATGGGCTTTGAACTCCATAATGCCCTGCAATTCACAAGGTATTTGGCTCATCCAGATTAACCCCTTAACTGACAAGTGAAGAATTACAGAGAACATCAACGGTACAGCAAACTAGCTTCTGTGACTCACAAGGAGACTGTCAGGGTTGTACTCTGGTGTCGGCCTACCACGACGTTTACAGGAAAGTCATAATACTCAACACACTCCAATGGAATTCCCCCCCAACACTAGCATAAAGGTATCTACCGGATCATGAAATTCCCCCTGCGGATGGAGCAGAAATGAAGCTCATAACAACTCCCACACCCATTCCAGTTTTCAGTATATTGTGAAGGATATTATGCAGCTCAGAACGGATTTAAGTCAGCTGCGAGGAAACCTCAGGTTCAATGAAACAATGTATAATATAAGGTTAAAAGCTTCTTTTCATGATATCATGAAGACAAGTTAAATCTCTCTCTCCTCATTTCTTTGATTTTTTTTTTATTTTTGAAGGGCTATGGAGATTGCCTTATCCTATGTATCTTGCTCCGTGCCAGGTTGCTCATTTCATGAATACAAAATCCTAGCAGAAGACGAATGAAAATAATTTTTGATTTTATTCTGCAACTGTCATCAGTTTTTATGGAGCTGGTTCCTTAAGTGCCACTCAATATCAGCTGCTGTGAGCATTTTTCATCATAGAGATTTACTATTATAATTAGTAGCGTGTAACAACCCTGATATTGATTTTCCCTTTTCTCTTGCTCTGAGATCACTAGCTTGATTTCTCCTGTAACCCACGGCAGTGGGGGTGATCGGGGAGGAGACTGATATATCTTAGCATCAAATCCTGCTTCCCACTGACTGCTCCATGCTAACGGTGTTTTTTTTAAAAAAAAGACAAAATAAAATCCCTTACCTTAACGCCTTTAAAGAATTGTTTGTTATTGACACACAGGAAGTTAAGTCCAAATGTTTCAGTTTGGAACAGAATTTACTAAGGCTAATACATGTGCTGTAACAAAAAGAAAAACAAACAAACCCCTTGTTAAAGTGGACTCTCATATTATACTTCCTCAATGAAGCCCTCAAGCCAGTCTAGTGAACATGGTTACCTGTCAGTGATTTTTGTGCACCCATTAAGGTTAAGGTGTTCGATATTTCTGCAGTTCTGTGCAAAAGTCCTGGGGGAGAAAAAAAA